GAGAGTAAATCGTTGTGGTGTTGATTTAAATGAATTGGAAGCGATCGAAGCCAAACTTGCACTGAAATTACGAAATATGTGAATGATGCAGATTTAAATGTCTTTTCTGCAGAGACCAGTATTTCGGTATAAAAAGTGGAAAGAATGTTATTTAGAGCTTGTTTCAAGAGTCTTTCAAATGGTGGAGAAAAAAAGACAATTATATTAGTATCCCTCTTGAAACGTTAAATGTATTTTACTTCGTAACTCCAACACAGTTCAGTTTTAGGTAGGACCATTTGCCATGACCTAATTCAGAATTATTTTTTCTTCCGCAAAACGTTCGAAACCGCTCCTTCGAGCAGCCCAGCTGAGAGCAGCTTGTGAGCGGCCCGCTTGCGAAAGGTTACCCGGGTGGTACCAGCGCCTTGCTGCCCCTCGAACCTTTGAGAAGAGATCGATTCCCACCGCGCCGGGGTTCGCTGTGGGTCTCCCCGGCACGCACCCCACGCGTGCTGCCGTGGGGAGCCTCTCTTAGGAACCGGCCGGGGGTTTTGGGGACGCCGGGGGAGCGATCCCCAGTGACCTCCTCCCTCTTACCCCTGCGGAATGCCCGAGCCCTGGTTTAATTCTGCCTGAAAAGGGTTTTTTGTGCCGGCCGAGAGCAGCCTCCTCCGAGCAGCCTCCTCAAATCCTGCGGGGAGGCCAGGCAAATCCCCGCAGCTGAGAGGCTGCCCGGGGTGGTGTGATGCTCTGACCCGCCAACAACAATCCAGGGCTGTGTTTCCTTTCGGAAGAGGCATTTGCATATCCTCTATTCACTTTATTTGGTTAAATACATTTGAAAAGGGGAAAGCTCTGGGTCACTGAGACTGAAGAATGGGCTGTCTGAGGGCCTCCCCCCACCTTAACTCCTTGAAACCGTGCTCCAGCATCTTAGAGAGACACGTCTTAAAATATCCAGAAAGGGGGATTTAAAGGCTGCTTTTGCAGCGGGGAAGGGGGCTGGAGAGGGGGAAAAGCCTGACAGCGAGGAGGCAGCGGAAAGGCGCCATATATCTCTGAACTGAAAATTCATTTATGTGCAGCCGTAGACAGACTCGGGGAGAGTTTGTAAAATTCAGCATGGAGAGAAATGGCTTCATGAGGACTTGAAAATATCTGTGAAAATAGGAGCGCAAAAGCAAGTTACAGTAGTGCCAGGCACAGAAACGTGCAGCGTGCTGCAGGGTGTGAAAATCAGAAAGTGGAACTGACTAGAAACAAAACCACAAATAACCTAACTGCTGCTTAAGCTAACAAAATAATAATAAAAAAAAACCCTAAAGCAACAGCAAAGATCCTGAAACACAAACCAAGTGTTTAAAAACATTCAAACAATGTAACCACTTGTTATGACTGTCAGCAGAAAAGAAAGTCTCAGTGAAGTATTTAACTTTGAATGTTTAAGGACATTTCAAGTCACAGCCCAACCACAGAGTTCTCAAAAACCTTCTGTGAGGCGATGCCAGTCCCCCCTTTCCCCCCATTTTCCGGCGCGGTGCCAGGCCCTCGCTGCCGGGGGTACTGCAGCTGGGTGCGGGCTGCGGTTGGGGTCTGGGGCTGGCGGGTGCCAGCCCCGTTGACGTGCCAGGATGCGGAGGGGAGCCCCTTGGACGGGGGCAGGATACGGCCCCTGCACCTCGCTGCCTGCCGCACCCACCGCGCTCACCTGCAAAATGGAGACTGTGCTTCTGGATGCCTGTAAACTGTTTTGAGGATGACAGCTGGGAAGAGATGCGTACGCAATAAAATCATCATCGTGGGTTTATTTTTGTTCCTTTGCCATCCATTGGCATCCTTGTGGTGTAAGGAAATGGAGGGCTAGAGGCAGAGGAGGCAGAAACACTCGCCTGGTAGCTTCACAGTAGTGTTCCTAATTATTGAATTAATCCTCTGCTCATGCAGTATGTTTCCTTCCTGCTGCTCTTTGTAAATGGTCAAAAATATACGCTGTATAATCAATGCAAGCATAATATGTCACCAGAAGTCACAGAAAGGAAAAATCAAAAGAAAAAAAGGAAAAAAGAAATACAAGGGAGTAAAGTTCCCCCATCTTTTACATGACTTTCATTAATTAGTGGCTTTTTTTTATTTCTAGTCGAGGCAGGATTTTCCATGAATGGGCCTTAAGGAATGCAGAGATACTGTTGGCAGATTTCTGTTCAGTAACTGAAGCTATCGCCCTGGGTTATGGGAATGTCCTGAAAGACGAAGCAGCAGTTTTTATTGAGTTATGCTCAGAATTTTGAAGCGCCGTGTGGGACTCTGGGCCATGAAGCGATGAAAGCCCAGGGGCTCACGAGCCAGCTCCGAGCCCGGTGTGGTTTCCTGGTGGTACAGCCTCGGTCAGCTGCTCTGATGGCTCTGCAGCCTCCTGGCCATAAGCGTCACTCTGTTTAAAATTCAACCTTAATTTGTGTTTCTCATTTATTTTGATAAAGCATAAAAGCATAGAGAAACTCAATACGTTCCTCTCTTACAGTACTCTTCTTTCACGTTGTGTTAGACTGCGAGCATTAAAAGCACTGTGATTTACTGATACAACTTCTTTTTTTTTTTCCTGGACAGGTGAGGTCTCAGCCAAATCCCATAAAAGTCCTTTGAAGTCTTTCCATTGATTTTACTGGTAGCTGGATCTCACTGGGCTTTAGACTGAGCGGTAATCAGCGCAAAAGGTGAAGTCTTATTTCCTTTGTACTTGTAGAGTATCAACATCCCTGCTACTTAACACCCTAAGGTGAGGGTCGGTTTTGGGCGGCTTTCTACAGAAGCTGAAGTCACTTGAGTCCTGGTTTGAAGCACAAAGGGCTTTGCAGCTCCTCTTGCCTTGGCCCAGTCCTGGGTGCTCAGCAGCTCCGGGCTCAGCCCCTCCAGCCCTCAGCCTCATGTTCTGCAGAGCACAGCTAATACATCTGCAGGAGGTTCTTACACATACTTGAACCGTCCTCTGAGTTCCAGTGCCAAAGGCTCTTAGAGCAAAACCCTGTTTATGGTGAACCGCGTGCTTTCCCTCGGCTGTGTGTCCAAAAAAGGAGGTTTTCTTCCCATAAAACGCTCTCCCGACTACTCTGCTCTGCAAATCACCTGGCAGAAAATGCTGGGGCATTGGGGAAGCTTTTATTCTGTGTGTTACTCAGAGTGTGCTTACGTCCATCTTCCCTTAAGGTAGGAAACCTAAACCCAGTTTTCTCCCTTTGTTCTGTCTCATGTTTCTCCTATGGTCATTCCAGCAAGTGAGTCCTTATGCCGTATGTATGTGCAACAAAAGCAAGACAAGAGAAAGAGAATAACTGCTCAGGGTATTTACCGGGGAGGTAGAATGGTCTGAAGCTGTCCTGAAACACTCATTTTACTGAAGCCTCCACCTATGCTGAGAGTCTATCACCCACTGTCATCTCCATGGAGGTAGGCAAGAGCATCCCTTAACCAACAGGTGCTTGAAAGAAGACCTCTTCTAAATAAATGCAGCACAGTAACTTGGTTTTAATCCAATATTTATTTAGAATCAGTATTCCCACATCCCCTCCGGAGCACTCCGTCGCAAACACACCTGTGCTGTACCCATGGGCTACAGGCACCCAAGTGCCCAGCCAGCCTGGGACTGCTCACACACCTGGGATATTTTCCTGACTATAAAGTTTCTGTCAAGCTGTGGCTCATAAGGAACAAAGGGGCAAGAATCTGAGCTGGTGAATATTGTTGTGGTCCCATTAAACCAGCACTGCGATGCTGATTTACACCTGCAGACCATTTAGGCCAGTACTCCCTGCCCTACCCTGGCAAATTTATGAATTAAAGCCTGATGGCAGAACACCCACATCTGAGCCAAATGAATGATGTTCGACAAGCCTGCCTGAAACCTCATTAAATGTTCTCTTCATTCATGAGGGTTCTTTGAGAATTCTCTGTTATGCCCTCCGAGTGCACGATATTGTGAGTACAATTCAGGACAGGTCAGACAGAAACTTTACTAACTGTGATAACAGCAGAAAAGCGTTCAGACAGCATCTCCCCCTCTGCTCCCCTCTTCTCTGCCGAGTGATTGTGGAGAGCCAGCCTATACACAGTTTCAGGAAAAAAAAAAGAAAGAGGTGAGGAGAACGATAATTTCAGTGTTAACAAAGCCAGGTATCCATCCCTGGGAGGGAGCGACTCCTCAAGCGCCTTGTTAACGGCCACGGTTCCGAGAAGGAATTGTGCGGTAAATAAGGTGGCAATACGGAGAGAGGCTTCTGGTGGGCCCCGGAGGAGCGGCACACCCCGGGTTATCTTAGCTCAGGCGCGGGGAGTTGGAAGCCATCGGAGGCCGTTAGCTTTCAGTTGAAAGGAATGGTCTTTTAGTTAGGATAAATGTCGTAGCCAGACCTCTCAAATCTTAAATAATAATTTTACCACCACAAATGAATTGCGAAGTTTTTGGTTTGTTGTTACTGGTGTAAATTAAAAAAAAAACTGGTTTTGGCTCAAATGCCAGTTTTTTTCTTTGCTTTTAGTATATGTAACAATATAAGGATGTTGTTGGCAACAGTTATTCTCTTACTATTTTATTGATTCAAATGATTTACATTTATCTACTCAAGCTATGAAGTCTCTAATTTAGCAGACTAGGGCTGGCAATGCAGGCTTTCTCAGTGTCAGAAACTTCATTTTATGATGACTTTTCCCAAAGGAGGAAAAAAAAAATCATGCTGTCTTTCATTTTAAACCGAGCGTTTGCAGGAAGGCTTTGCAGTTTTACATCCAGTAAGCCTCGCATCGAGTCTGCAAGCGCCGTAAAGCTTCCAGCATGACAGATAGATGTGTCAAAACCGCGCAATGTTCGGGAGCAGGAGGGGTGAGCTTCGCCCGTCTGCGAGGAGCTGGAATAAGGCTCCCACCGCCGGGAGCTGGAGTCTCCAGGGCCTCAAGGGGTTACACCGGGGCACTGCCGCTGCTGCGCTAATACAGCCTAAGCTGATATTAGCCAAGCTTAACTTCTTTCAGCAGTTTGCAGATGGGAAGGGGGTGGGACGTCCTGGAGTCAGCAGTTCTTCAACAAGTACGTGAACGCCAGCTCCGCCGGTGCGAGACCCAGCCATGAGCTGACTGCGCGCAAGGGGGGAGGAGGGCGGCCGGCTTTCCCTGGCGCTGGTGAGTCCGCGGCTGGTTTGTTTGGGGTTTTTTTTTGGTTTTTGTTTTTTTTTTTTTTTTTTTTTT